CTGACCTACAGGGCAAGTGCTCTGCCATCAATGGAAATGTGTGGAGGGAAGCTGGGCCACCTGAACTGGTGGCTCAGATGCCACAGGTGCATCTTCGAAGAATGCCACAAGACAAAACAGGTCCCATGAGCTCTGCCAGGTCCCAGGACCTGCTGGGCATTTGAAATCCATAGAATCATAGGATGTTGTGAGTTGGAAGGACCCACAAGGATCATCCAGTCCAACTCCTGTCCCTGCACAGGACAATCCCAACATTCACACCATGTCCCTCAGGGCCTTGGCCAAATGCTGCTGGAATCTTGTCAGCCTTGGTGCCATCAGCACCTCCCTGGGGAGCCTGTTCCAGTGCTCCACCACCCTCTGCCTCAAGAACCTTTTCCTCATGCCCAACCTCACCCTCCCCTGCCACATCTTCCTGCCATTTCCTCTGCTCCTGGCATTCGTTGGTGGCCAGAGAGAAGAGATCAGCGCCTGCCCCTCCTCTGCCCCTTGGGAGGAAGTTCTAGACCCCCAGGAGATCTCCTCTCAGTCTCCTCTTCTCCAGGCTGAACAAACCAAGTGCCTTCAGCCTCTCCTCATACCATTCCCTTCTAAACCCTTCCCCAATTTGGTGGCCTCCTCTGGACACTCTCTAGTAGCTTTAGGGACCTGCCTGAGGAATCCCCATGACTTGAAAGGTTTTTCTGTTTCACCTTAATTACAAGCTCCTGTGGCCAGCAAGAGGAGCCTCTGACCATCTGCAGCTTTGACGCTGAGTACCATCAGTTCAAGTGTGCAGGCACTGTGCATGTACCCACCCTCCTGGCATTGCCTGCTCTTGGCTGACAGTTTGAAGTGGCTTTTATTAAACGAGGCTCAGCCCAGCCCCCGTCATTGCAAGAAGATCCCCTAGTGAGACGGAAATGAGGACATCATAATTAACGCAGTGAGTGCACGCACTGTGGGGGGGTCATGATTGCATTTGTATTCAGAGACTTGCCTAATAGTTTAAATTAAAGTCAACACCAGTTATAAAAAAAATTGCCAGATTATGAAAGGTGAAAGATGCAAACATCAGATATCTGGGCAGCTGCGCAAGGTCTTAGAAGTCTCCCAGGGCCTGCGTGGTGCAGCAGAGTGAGGAGGAAGAGGAGAAGGAGGAGCAGGAGCAGAGGGGGAAACACACAGGGAGAGACCACGTTCCCCTGGAGCAGCAGCTCCCACCACCCTTGCGGTGACCATGGACAGAGCCAAGGCATGAGGTCTCCACAGCCCTGGGAATCTTCTACAAGGGATGCTGGGTCTGCCTGGCATTGCAAAGCCTTTGCTGCTGCTGGGACATCCAGCACTTTCCTTCATCTCAAGAGCAAGCACTGAGCTACAGCTGCTCCCCAGGAGCTGCTGGGTCCCTCGCACCACTGTCACTGAGAGAGAGAGAAAAAAGAGAAGGACGTTATTGCAGCTATAAATCATTAGATGGGAGGCATTAATGGAGATAATCCCCATGAAATCAGTCACTGCTGGGGCTAAGGAGGGATTTGTCAGGCAGTTAACTACCCTGAGCTTCACTGCTGGTGATTAACTCCTGGTAGTGACCAGCATCTGGGGAATTAGCAATAACCCAGCTTTTACTGAACAAGCACTGGGAGATGAGCTTTTATCTCAATTACTAGTCTAAATCTTTACTTTCCAATGATCCATTCCTACCCATCTTTTTTTTCAAAGACAATGAGATTCACCGCAGCTTGCCTTGGAACTTGCTGGCATTCTTGGATCCAGGCAAAAGCTCCGGACGGGAAGAGAAACCCAAGAAATGGCACAAGGACATCAAAGTGACAGAGGGCAGAAGACATGGCAGGGGGGAGAGCCACAATATCTTTTGGTGCTCCAAAGAGAAAGACGTGACCCTGA